TAAGTGGAGACATGATTTACGTGGCGTATTATCGATAGTGTCAACTCCCTGCTGTGCATGTCAAAAGCATCTGTGGTAAGCTATTGGACTCTACCTCTTGCTTCTTTTCATGGCCACCATTCTAATCGTCTTTACTCCATCTCTCTCATACACACATTTCCCCACATTCTTGTTTCTGTGTAAGAGGAGAGGTTCAGTGAAATATGGATGTATCTGGGTGTACATAGGGCAGGGCTGTATTCCCGAAGCTACATGGTGCCAAGTCTTGGCTCATGCACAAATATCACTTTTAGGGCTTCCACTCTATTCAAAATTATAACCCATCTCCCTATAGACAACCTCTGTGGCATACATGTAATCTCATGAGTCATTAAATAATAAAATTATTAAATTCTATACTTCTCATCAATTATGTCATCTAGTAATTAGGGGTTATTTTTGGTCCCCTACATGGAAACAATGTTTTAACTATTTTGCCATTCTAACAAATGTAAATGTCCTATATACAGATTAATTTACTTGGACAAGTTTTTGTTCTTGAAAATTTAAGATATCAGATAATGTAATTTCTTGACAAATTGAATCCATCAGCAGTATGGGTTATAAGCTTGGGTATATGAAAAAGTCTGCCAACTCCTTTCTCTTTCTCCTTCCTGCTTTTGTCAATCTTCTACTGCAATTAGTAATATTGTCTTTTTTTTGAACAACTGAAAATCAGACGTATCCCTTGATAATCTTAGAAATAGCTTTTCTTCACACACTACCATTTGCAAGGCCATTGTGTTTGAAAACCAAGAAGGCAATTGGCAGTCATTGGCTTGCTTTGATTCCTTCTGTTTTGCATTTTACTTTCTTAGATTGCTGACTTTCTTTTATCATCAGGTTTTGTGTGTGTGTGTGTGTGTGAGTGAGTGAGTGTGTAACAAGGACTAGAGGAGCTTCTTTTCATCTTTTGGGTTATTTCTTTGATGCAACATATATAATTCTAGGCCTAACTCATTTTTCAAACTAGGATCTCTAAGTGCTTCAGCAGCAGCAATTCAGTGACTATATTCAGTCTCTCTGAGAATGCTATGTAGGGCAAAGAATGTTCCTTTGGGGTAGTGATAGCATTTTGACAGAGCTGAGCCATGCATGTTGGGAATTAGTAGGAAGGAAGTAAACTATGACTAGAGTGTGGAGGGTCTTGACTGCTAAACATGGGGGATGAGGGGGACAGATGGGAGCTCCTGGGTGCTTTTGTAGAAGCAGTAGCACTTGACAGATGGAAGCAAAGTCCAGGATTTGTTGTGGGGAAGAAGCTCTGAAGATATGGAGATCAATTAAGAAATTAAGAAATTTCTGACAATTCAGGTGTGGAATGACCCCACCCCACCTTCCGTGCCACAGGCCATCCAGAGCCACCAAGCACCATCTACACGGGTTACTGACATCAGAAACAGCCCAGCTGTTTGACAGCTGTTGCATTACTTTTCAGTTGTGTTTTATATCACATTGATCTATGAAACCTTTAAGTACAATCTTTTTCAAAGTGAGAGAAAGGGAATAAAACGTAAATAGGAAGAATATCATGCCTTCTTTTTCTTATAACATTATTACAATCTAATCAGCAATTCTAGCTTGCCTCAGATATTAATACAATCTTTAAATAGTCTACTTCCACTTATGCTAACTCTGATATGATTCAAAGCAATGTTTTCTGTCTGGAGACACCTTAGAACTGAGCAGAACAGCAACTGAGAGAGTGGATGATGAGAAATTTCTTAGTGGGTACAACGTATGTTATTCTGGTGATGGATACCCTAAAAGCCTTGACTTCCCCACTATGCAATATATGCATGTAACAAAACTACACTTGCACCCCCAAAATTTATACACATTAAAAAATAAAAGCAATTAATATAATTGGTAAACACAAAAATATGTGTGGTTCAAAACTCATCTTTCTTTGATATTTTCAACTTCGGTAAATGGTTGAAAGTACTGAGCATATTCAATACTTTGAACCATTTATTCTTCTTTCAACCTAATCCTCCTAATACTGAGGGAAATAAAGAAGGCTCATGCATCCCTTTAATTGAATATTCTCCAATTGTATGCATTATTTTCATAGCTATATAAATGTAATGTTAAAGTGAGATAGACAGCTGCTACCTTGCCCTGCAATATAGAAGTAGTGAACTTGACATGGTTAGAGGAATCTACAGGTTTGGTATGTGAGAGACTCCAAAGCACCAAAATTTTACTATGGGAGGCAGCTATGGGGAAAAGGGATGGGGGCCTGTAACTCACATTGCTTGGAAGGATCTCTTGACTATCCTAGTTAGAAGTCAGAAGAATAGCAACATGTATGGTCTCCTGACCTACAGAAGAGGATGACAGGAAGATGTGGAGATCGCTCCTAAATATTGTGAAGGTGTTTAGCACACTCCAATGCTTTTTTGTCTTTTTCTCTGGAAAAAGATGGAAATAACTAGAGTATTTTTTTTTTTAGCCCAAAAGGTTTACTTTCTAAAATTAATGATGGTTAAATGACTCATTACACAAGTTTTAGAAAAATAGTAATTACACAAATTACTCCCATGATGTAAAAATATCAAACGGTCCACATTATTTAGAACTACAGTAAGGTATACAAAGTATTGGATTCCCAGGAGGGGAGAACCATATGTTCAAATAAGAATGTGTTAATTTTTATTCATTGCTAGGTGAATGTAAAAGTTTTATTTGTATTTTTACCAAATTTGGAGACATTCCAGATGATCTGACTTAAAACGTTGCCATGGAATAGAAATGAAGTTTAGTTTGGTGATTGGCAGTAGCACCTCAAAGAGATAAGCAGGTATCCTTCCCAGCAGTTGTGGGTATTGATTTGCTAAGAAGCTGCTTAATCTACATAGTGTGCTTCAGGGTGAACAGCAGCAGGGAGTTATTAATTCAGAGATGGTTAATCATTTTCTTGAGCCATGATGGGTTGGTTCACTAGTTGATAAGCATGAATAATCAATGTTTGATACTATACACTGTGATGGCTGAAGAGTTAAAATTTGAATTTTCCAATTTGTCATTAGAGAGAAATGTCAGGAGAAAGTCAAGTGGTTGTGTGCACATAGTATTTCATAAAAAGAAAACTTTAAAAAAAAATTAAAGTTATGTAGCATATGCTAAACATTTTAAATCAATTATGCATTTTCAATTTTGAATCATAATTTGGTTCTAAACTCCTATTTTAAGCTCTAATAGAAAATACATGTATTTATGCTATCCTGTGGAAAGAGATGATCATTTTTTGATTATTTGTTCTCTAATCTCTCCAATGTTGGAAACAGTATATTGGTGTAACTTTGGGAAGATTTATTTGTAATGTCAAAATTGTAACCGTTGTTTTCATCTATATTGTCATTCCACCGATTTTTCTGCTAGGGTAATATAATTTAACCATCGCTTAAGTGTACTTATTGGAAACTGAGAGATTACTGTTTTACTTAAAATGTGTTATATCTTCAATTGACAAAACTTGCCATTTATAGTAATATTTCAGAATATTACCTCTTAGAATAGTTGCTTTCTATGCATAATACATAGAAGAAAAAAACAAGACTGAGGAAAATACTTTTCCTGGGTTTAGCATAAACACATTTCATAAAATCTGGCATAGATCAGGCCATTTCATTTGAATTTTCGTACATTTGAATTCTTGCAGCAATTTTTCCCTCACAACAAGTAGACCAAATATGGAATATCTAATTCCTTTGGCTTTAGTTTGTTTTGGGACTAAGTAGTCTCTGATAGTTTGGATGTTTGTCCCCTCCAAATCCCATGTTGAAATGTAATCCCCCACGGTGGAGGTAGGAACTGGTGGGAGGTGTCTGGGTCATGGGGGTCACAGATCTCTCATGAATGGCTTGGTGCTGTCCTTGCGTTAGTGAGTGATTCTTGAGATATCTGGTTGTTTGAAAGTGTGGTGCCTTGCCCCCTTTCTCTCTTGCTCCTGCTCTTGTCATGTTATGTGCCTGCACTCCTTCCCCTTCTGCCATGATTGGAAGCATCCTGAGGCCCTCACCAGAAGCAGATGCTGGAGCCATGCATGTGCCCCCTGCAGAACCGTGAGCCAATCATCAAATCTCTTTTTCTTATAAATTATCCAGCTTTTTTTTTTTTTTTTTTTTTTTTTTTTTTTTTTTTTTAAACCAGCAATGTAAAAATGGCCTAATATAGTCTGCAAACAAGGTGACCACAGACTGGTTAGTTATCTTCCTCTCTCACTGAGCACTGACTTTGTTGTGTTTGTCTTTGGTTCCTTACTGCTGAGCTTAGGGGTGGGCACACAGTGGGTGCTTGATAAATGCAGACTGAAGAAATGAAGAAGACCGAGGAAAGCAGGCCAGTTTTAAATGGTTTTAGTTAGTAATACTGCTCAGCAAGGTCAACACTGGCCTGCTATCATGTGGACCCCATTATCTCTAAGTCACAAAAATCACCGAGAAAAGCCAGGATGCCCTTTTCTTTAATCATTAATCTAGATAGTCTAAATAAAATCATTACCATTCATTTCTGGCTGAACTATAGATATCTGGCTTCAGAACAGCATCATATTCAACAGGTAACTAAACCTAAGGATATGTTTATTTCAAGTATTTTCTGGGTTCAGTAGCTCTTACCCTGGAAATCGCATTTCATAAAAATCCAGGGATCTTGTCAAGACTGCCTGCCCAACCAGCAAGCTCAGGGCTGGCATGAGAATCCAAGTCATGAAACTCCATGATTTTGAACTTCATCTCTGAAATATTATTTTGTTACAATTAAGGTGGAAACTGAGTGTAACATAAGACAGATAATAAAATTTTAAAATCTTAAAACTAGTAGTTTGAAGATAGCAGAAATAGCTCTCAGTAAAAACACAGATAGAATTCCAAAAGTCAGAAAAGTCTGCAGCAACTCTCCATGTGGAATCAGACCATGGATTTAAACCTGAAAATACATTTGTGGTTACTTCCTACCTTAAATACATTGATAGGGAGATCAATGACCACATAGATAAGGTCTCCAAGGGCAAGGCTGGCTATCAGCGCGTTGGGGCCATTCCTCATACATTTGTTCTGGTAAATGATCCTGAGCAGAGTTGCATTCCCCACCATTCCCACGATGAAAATAGTACAAGATATCACAGTGTTAATGTATTTGAAAGCTGAAGTAATTTTAGTCTGCTGTGGGCAATAGTTGTGCATTGAGCCATTGCTGGGTAGGACCAAATTAGTGGGTTGATGAGTGGTAACCAGGAAGCTGAGTGCTGTGCCACGAAAAGTGGTGAAATCATCCACAAGATTGCTTAGATTTGTGCTGTATCTCTCGGGATTATCACTGATTACACATCCAACCAGTGCCAGCCAAAAGGATGCCCTGAGGCAAAGGGTTTCCATCTTGAGGCAGATTTGAGGAAATATCTCTTATTGTACTTGTGCTGCTTTTACACCTTCACTTTTTTTTTCACCTGAAAGAAAAGGAAAAATAATTTTTTTATAAAATCTGGTTGCCAAAAAGATCATAGTCAATGATTATTTATAGATTCAATTAAAATGCAGGATATATTTGGTGATTAGGTAAGATACATGTATAGCAGGTTACCCTATGGCAGAGCAAAATCAGAAAAAAACCAAAGCTCTATTAGGGCAAGATCTATCTCCTCTATGTAAGTCTCCATCTCCATCTCCATCATCTCCATCACCTCCATTACCTCCATCATCTCCATCTCCATCTCCATCATCTCAATCTCCATCACCTCCACCTCCATCTCCATCATCTCCATCACCTCCATCATCTCCATCACCTCCATCATCTCCATCTCCATCGTCTCCATCATCTGTCTCTGTTTCCATCTCCGTCTCCATCTCCATCTCTCTATCTCTATCTCTATTTCTATCTATCTCTATCTCTGTCTCTATCCATCTCTAGCTCTGTCTCCATCTCCCTATCTCTCTTTCTCTCTCTCACTCATCTATCTCCATAGCTGTACTTATATCTACATCATAATATGGATGAGACTATGTCAATTTTCCCTTTAAGTAGTAGTTACTTCTTTCTCTACATTCAGGCTGATAAGAGCCTGAATTACAAAAATCTTCAAGAGTTGAGATACAAACATATTTTTTAATGTAAGAGAAAAGGCATTATATGCTGAGTAAAGGGGACAGAGTATTGAGGCATAAAATAAAATTACCAAATTTAAAAATTGAATCTTCTAAAATGTGTGCTGTCTTGCATATGATAAACAATAAACACAGGAATAAAGTGCAGCATGGGTAGCCATCTAAAGTGCTACGAGATGTTAGTCAGAACTCTGGTTAACACCATTAATGCATCTAACAATTTTAATTTCAACTAAAAATGAAAGAATTGATAAAAACAAAATATTTGTTTTGGGAACCTTGATGTTTAATATATAAAATCTACATTTTCTATAGGAGTTTTTTTTTGCTTTTTCATTTCTCAGAAATTATCACAGTATGGTATTTGTCAATGAATGAAATGGGAATAATGAACTTTCCCAGGCTAGTTATAGTATTTGGTTTTCCAAGGGACATCTGCCCCTATACTATCTTTTAACCATCCTATATAGTTACATTTATTATATGCCAGTCACTGTGTTCAATATTATATGTGCATGATGCCCTGTAATCCATACAATGGTCCTGTGACGTAGACCCATGGTTCCATTTTGAAGAAAAGGAAACAGAGGCCCAGGAAGGTGAAGCAGCTTGTCAAGGCCACAGGTGGTAGGTGACAGTGCTTTGATTCTAAGGCAGGTCAGTCCAACTCTGAACCAGAGTCGTTAACCACTAAACCATCCTGTCTGTCATCCTCATGCTTTATTTGTACCTAAAATATTTTAAAGAAGCCTCCAGAGTTAAGATGAAGCAAAAGACTCAGGAGGATGGTTAGACGTTTTCAAAGACCATCTGCTGTGGTTATTTATTTATTTATTTATTTTTAAGTTACTTGCAGAGAGCTAGTGGTCCTTCCTGTCCAGGAAATTTAGGAGACCTTTAATCCTTAAAGAAAAGCCATTGAAAAAATGAGGGAGGTTGGGGTAATTAAATAATCAAAAATAATTAAAAATAACCCCTCCTATTTCAATATTTTATATGTTTCCTTTTCTGTAGGCTTTTATGAATCTTCAAATGAAGACATAATCTGATTTATGCAATGGTGTGTGTATGTGTCTGTGATGTATACCCAGGTCATAATTTAACCTTAAAAAAATTGAGTCCTGGCTGGGTGTGGTGGCTCATGCCTATAATCATAGCACTTTAGGAGGCCAAAGCATGAGGATCGCTTGAGCCCAGGAGTAACTGGGCAACTTAGTGAGACTCTGTCTTTACAAAAAATAAAAAAGATTAGATGCTTATAGTCCCAGCTACTTGGGAGGCTGAGGTGGGAGAATCGCTTGAGCCCAGGAGATTAAGGCTGCAGTGAGCTATGATCGAGTCATGGCACTCCATTCTGAGTAGCAGAGTGATACCCTGTCTCAAATAATAATAAAAAAAAAAGTTAAAAAAATTGAGTCCTTTTTCTGAGTCTATTCAAGGTTGGCATTAACCACTTTTAGGAATTTTGATAATTATCTTGGGAAATCTGTAAAGCTTAGGTTTGGCCAATACGAGGATAAAATAAGATTTATTCAAGTTATATAGAAAGTGTATTTATTCAAGTTGTATAGAAAGGGTAAATATAAAGTTCAAGTATTGTACACTTTTGCCTTCCCCAGACATTTCCTCACCAAATCTGAAATAAAAATAGTATTTATACATAGTAACTTATTATATATGTATCTGTTATCTGCCTTGAGCTTTATGACTCTAGGAAGGCAGGAGCAATATCTCCATTTTACGTATAAGGAAACCAGAGTCTTGAAGAAGTTATGTGTTTAGGTCAAGGTTTCAAAGCTAAGAAATGGCAGGACACGTAACTTTGCTTATAGGACTTGACTAACTCTGATTAAATGAGAAAAGATATCAATGTTTCAAGGCTAGAGGCATGCCATGTAACTGTCAGCTCTGACTAGACTTAATTATAAACAATTTGCAGTTTTTTCCTGCTTCTTATAGTTTGGAGTGAGTATCTGGCTGAATATTGATAGACCTATGAAATGCCACCATTTCCATTCCAAAATGAAGACCAGGACTCCAAGAGCAAAGCTTCTTGTCATCCGCCTCTTTGGATCAGAGATGGGGGGAGAAGAAATACTTTCATATCTGGTGCTGTTGAGTCAACTAACGTCTTCCAACTTCCCAATTGAAAGGGAACCTTCAGTAACAGCTTTCTTAAAAATGAGAGAGAAAAGACCTTTTTCAGAAATGGAATGGCTCTCTGCTGGTTACAGTCAGCTGGGAACTGACCTGTGAACTGACCTGGCTACAGTGGGTACTGCTCTACTTGTCAAGGTCCCTTGGTACTTTGAACGTTAGCATGCTGGTCTGCTCCATTAGCGGATTATGGAAGGGGGTAAGGCCAACACTGTGGGTTCTTTTTTTCTTTTTCTTTTTTTTTTTTCTGAGACAGAGTCTCACTCTTGTCACCCAGGCTGGACTGCAGTGGCACAATCTCAGCTCACTGCAACCCTTCTGGGTTCAAGCATTTCTCCTGCCTCAGCCTCCTGAATAGCTGGGATTACAGGCACCCACCACCACACCTGGCTAATTTTTGTATTTTTAGTAGAGACGGAGTTTCACCACGTTGGCCAGGCTGGTCTCGAACTCCTGACTTCAGGTGATCCATCAGCCTGGGCCTCCCAAAGTGTTGGGATTACAGGCGTGAGCCACCATGCCTGGCCAAGGCTGTAGGTTCTAAAGGCATGAGCCAGCTACTGTTAAAACCCCTTTCCTTCCTCCTCCAACAATGACACCACCGCAGAAATTACTTCCGATGACTTCTCTGTCAGCTCTCCACACATGTTAAGCTGCAAAACTAAGGGATACCTGGCAAAGGCATGTGAATGCCGTATTATCATTGGCTGAAAAGTACAAAACCAAATGAAAGGAGCCCATCAACTGCAGGTTCTTCCAAGGTGGGGCTGTAGCTCATTTCCAGGAATCTGAGTCAGGCTGTGCTTTGAATCATCAGTCATCATCAGTCATAGCACTAGTGAAGCATCTCAGGTTCAGACCTGAAGGGCATGGCCTATAGATTCAGCACTCTTCCTATTTGGGGTCTGAGAGTTTGGGGAGTGCAAAAAACTATGATTAAGAAAGAGGACCTAATCCTTATGCGTACACTTTAACCATTTAACATATGAGACCCTCAGAGTCAAAGTTCACCTGTAATTGGTAATTTGGAAATTCAGACCTTATCAAAATGGCATGAGTTTAGAGCATTTAATTTTCATGAAATGACTGCCAAGGTGTTTCTCAATTAGCTAACACATAGACAACTCCAGGTGGAGGAAAAAAACAAGTAAACTAGGAACTTTTTACAAGTTTTCTGTGGTTTTGCTCCCCGGTTAAGGAATGAGCAACTCTCCTTAGAGACAATGCCTGACTTCAGTATGCCTCCCGCCCCCAACTCTATCAGGGGAAAGCCATTAGGATGATGTAAACAGAGGGTGATTATCTAGAAGCAGCCCTTGTTTTCTGCACGTGAGAAGCAACAAGTGTCCTTTAAAGGCGAGCACAGAACAAAATGCCTAGACCTCCACAGGCTGGTTTCCAAAACTAGCTACACTGGGGGTTTTCCCAAACACCTCAGTCCCTCACGCCGAGTGCCCTTGGCTACCCTTGGCATACCCAGACCCAGATGTGGGGGAGGAAAAGCAAGCGAGTGAGAAAAGGCTGTGGAGCCAACTTCACAACCAGGCTCTGGAGCAAGCCACAGAGCTTGGTGTTCCTCAAAGTTCTTGCATGCCTGGGGAAGAGGGGACACCCAGGGAAAATTATTGGGCTTTCTCTTCCTAAAAATCCGAATCCTAAACTCTACACGTGGGGAGGTGAAGTTCCCCAAACCCTACACATTCCTGGAGCGCACCCCTCACGGAAGGCGCCCGCCTCCTCGCGCGTCCTTGGGCAGGTGGGTGCCAGTCCTTGCTGCGGCGGGTCGCCCAAGCTGCAGGGCAGTCGGGCCAGAACGTTTCCTGCTCTCGACCTAGGGGCCCAGGCAGCGTCTCCGCCATCCCCGTACCCGCCCCAGTCCCAGCCCCAGCCCCCGATAGGAAAGACTTGCACTGACTGTGGAGCTCGGCGGCCGCAGACAGCTGTCGGGTAGGCGCGGCGCCTGGGCCAGAGGAAGCCAGAGCCGGCGAGGGTGGGTGGCGCGGAGGGTGGCCGGTGTCCCGGGCTCCGGCGCGGCGGCGGCTCAGGCTGCACAGCGACTCCGGCTTCAGAAAACTTCCTGGGCACTGCTTCTCCGGGGGAGGTCTCAGTGAGTCCCCAGTCTCCGGCGACGACCGGGTGGGATGGATGAAGCCTCTCCACCTACTCTCCACAATCGCCAGGCCAGCTGGATGACTGTACGCGCGCGCGAGGGCTCGCAAGAAAAAGAAAACTCCGGAGGAACACGCCTCCAGTCTTTCCTCCCCGTCTCCTCCCAAAGCTCCAGACCTTCCACTCCACTCTAGGACCGCAAGAGTGTCCTAACCTTCCAGCTGTCCTGGGACGCAGCCACTAAAAAGGACAAAGCTGCTGCCCCCTTCCAGGCCCTGAAGGGCAAGAGTCTTTTTAACTATTTCCTTTCCGAAAGAAGAGATGGGGGATGTGGAGGAGAGAGGGTAGAGTTTAACAGACAGGACTCAGAATTCCGAAAGGCCTTGCAGAGGAACCCCTCCTCTTAGTGCAGGCAGATTTGCTCTGTGATGAACAACTGGACACAGAGCCACGGCCCAAGGGTGTTCCCTGCCCCTTTTGCTTGGCTTGCGTGCTACCTCGTACGCTTAAAGACAGTTGAGGAGCTAAAGTGGACAGCAGTTTACTGGATCGGGTGGTTTGTTTCTATCTTGTCCCTTGTAGCCAGCGTCTCAAGGCTCCAGACCTCCAGCCCAGGGCAAAGAAGGCGCCTCAGGAGAGTCTATGGAGGGTTCCAGTGTGTGGGTCCGTGAAACCTCAAGAAATTCAATGAGTGAGGAAGCAGACCTTATAGAGAGTGGGTCTCGACATCTTTATCATGGCAGAGACTTTGTCCTAAATTGGTGGTGGGAGAGGAGATGAGGGACAAAGGCCACTGCCTGTGACAGGTGAGTGAAAACTGGGGGCTCTTCAGGGAAGGTCTGCCTTGGAGTCGTTCAGTGCACTGTTAGAGTCAGCATATTGTAGAAATGTGAGGTTGGAGCACAGGTCACTTTATATCCCATACTGTTCGGGTTATCTGTTGCAGCCAAACAAATCACTATAAAACGTAGTGGCTTAAAACAACAACACTCATTTACTCTGCTTATCAGTCGGCAGATTGGGCAGAGCTAGTCTGGGACAGCTCGTTTTTGCTCCAGGTAGCGGGGGCTGGAGGATCCACTTCCAAGATAGTTCACTTGCTTGGTGTTGAGTGTTAGTTTTTCTCCGTGTTTCTCCACAAAGACTTGTGGAGACTTGTGGTTTGGGCTTCCTCACAGCGTGGTGGCAGGGATCCAAGAGTGAATGTCCCCAGAGACAGAAAGTGGAAGCTGCCACTTTCTTAAGGGCTGGGCCTAGAAACTGGCACTCTGTCATTTCTGCTCCATTCTATTAGTCAAGCAGTCACAGATCCCAGATTGAAGGTAGGGTATATAGAGCCCAACTCTCAATGTAAGAAAGTGTCAAAGAATTTAGGGACTATTATGTAAAACCATCAAAGAGATCTATAGAATACCACCATTGAAAGAATCCTTCAGTGCACGTAACAGTCATCTAGTAGGATTAGACTAGGTATTACCCTGTGTATTAATCTTATAGCTTCTCTATGAGGGAGAATCAGCCAACCAGAATAACTAATAGCTTTTAAAAGTGGCATCGTTTATGTTAAAAAAAAGGTGACCCTTTGGGCATGTGGCTTGGCAAGCTGACAATATTTTCGGGAAAGAAATGTTATTGCTTCCTCCCAGAAGACACAGTTCACATCTTGGCCTGTGAAACGTGTGCTGGATTTCAGCCGTTACTCACTCTGTGGCCAGACACACTTGGACAGTGCATCCCCTGCATATCTGAATGTGTCAGTCTGTCCGGTCTTTGTTAGAGCACACCCATCAGACCCTACCTCTTGCGACAGCTGATCTCACTGTGGTGTAGGACTAGTTACTAAAAATTTTTCCTTCACACCTATTAGGAAGGCTATGATAGTAAAACAAAATCAAAAACAGCAAAGAGCAAGTGTTGGCAAGAATGTTGAGAAATTGGAATCCTTGTGCATTGCCAGTGGGAATGTAAAAAATAGTGTAGCAGCTGTGGAAAGCAGCATGGCGGCCCTCCAAAAATTAAACATAAGATTACTATATGATCCAGCAATTCCACCTTTGAGTATTTACCTAAATAATTGAAAACAGCGACTCAAACAGATATTTGTACACCCATGTTCATAGCAGCATTATTCACAAAAGCCAAAAGGTGAAAACTAGCCAAAAGATGGAAACAACCCAAATATCCATCAGTGGAAGAATGGATAAACACAATGTGGTATAAACATGTATGTATATGTATATAAATATATGTACATACAACGGAACATTATTCAGCTTTAAAAAAGAATGAAATTCTCATACGTCCTACCACATGGATGAACATTGAAGATATGTGAGCCAGATACAAAAGAAAAGAGATATTTTATGATCCCACTTAGATGAAGTATCAGAATAGTTAAATTCATAGATACAGAAGGTAGAATAGTGATTACCAGGGGCTTGGAGGTGGTGAGGGGAGAATGGGGACTTACTGTTTCATATGTTTCAGAGATGTAGTTTGGGATGATGAAAAAGTTCCAGTGATGGATGTTGGTGATGGTTGCACAACAATGTGAATTACTTAACGCCAATGAACTGTACACTTTGAAATGGTTAAAATGGTAAATTTGTATTACGTATTTTTTACCCTGACATCAAAATAAAGTCCTCCTGACATCAAAATGATATCTGCCTCTATACATTACCTGTTGATCTGCCCTCTAAATTCATGAGTTTACTACCTCTTTTAGGATCTTTAAATATAAATAAGTGAATTATCAGCATAAACCTGCCTTTGTAAAAGAATAGGATTGCCTCATTCTAGATGAGAACAACATAAATGTCATTTGGCTGTTGGAGATTTATATCCTCATTTTCTCAGCTTTACTTGGGGAAAATGACTTCGGTGGACTCGAACCAGTTTTTAGTCAAGTTAACTTTATCTCCAGTTACTCCTCTCCCCATAGATAATACTTTATATACTTGCCCTAACTCTGTATTCCATGCTGTGTACTTCCAAAGAACATATAATTAGTGTATTTGACTATTTTTCAACTTGACTTCCAAGGTTATTTCTTTCCCCTGGAAAGTGGGTTGGTTGCAGATTTGCAGGTCTTCTGGGTTTTGGGGAAACTATCCTGATCACACTTGACTTCTGGTTCAAGCAGCTCACTAAATGGAGGATTACTGTAATGACAGTCTCTTGGCATCATGTTAGTATCATATTGATTTCATGAACAATAATTGCTGAAGATTAAGAAGTACTCAATATAGCACTTAAAAACCATTTTCATGTGTCTTTGGGGCAAATGTTCCTCTGAATTTAAGTTTCTTGATTCAAATTTGCAAATCCATTTTATAGTTGCTAACTCCCAAGATCCTCAAACTTGAAAGGGAATAGTGGTTTTGAGTCTCACAGTATTTGCTAGAGTTGCTGTGTTCATGGTTAAACTCTCTGGGAGAAATAAAACATGAAGGTTTCAGAGAAGAACCACAGAGATAAAGAAAGGCTAGAAAGCGGCTGGGCACGGTGGCTCATGCCTGTAATCCCAACACTTTGTGAGGCCAAGGTGGGCGGATCATGAGGTCAAGAGATCGAGACCACCCTGGCCAACATGGTGAAACCCCATCTCTGCTAAAAATACAAAAATTAGTGTAGTGGCACATGCCTGTAGTCCCAGCCACTCGGGAGGCTGAGGCAGGAGAATTGCTTGAACCGGGGAGGCGGAGGTTGTGAGCCGAGATCAAGCCGCTATGCTTCAGCCTGGTGACAACCTATCTCAAAAAAAAAAAAAAAAAAAAAAAAAAAAGGTTAGAAAGAAGCTGGTTGTGAGGGGAAAGGCAGAGAAATGTATGTCAGAGACCTGAAACTATCACTGCAGTCTTCACACTGGTTAGTGCTGCGGCCAAGACTATTGGCAGCAAACATCACTTGCCTGGAGATGCAAAGACAAACCCTGTTAGTTGAAGATCCATTTTTAATTAAAACTGATGACAGGCAATTTGTTTTCAAAGTAAGCATAGTCACGTGCCACATAACATTTTGGTCAATGGCAGAGCACACGTGGTTCCATAGGATTATAATACCTAAGTTACAAGAGATTTGAGAAATATGCTTTTATAAAAAGAAGAAAAAAAGATTATAATTTTTTAAAATCATACCTTTTCTATGTTTACATATGTTTGGATACACAAATACCATTGTGTTACAACTGCTTACAGTATTTAACACAGTAACTTGCTGTACAGGTCTGTAGCCTATGAGTAATAGGCTATACCACACAGCTTAGATGTGTAGCAGGCTCTATCATCTAGGCTTGTGTACGTATACTCGTTTTATGTTCACACAACAATGAAACCACAATTCTCAGAACATTTCCCCATCATTAAGACACATGACTGTACTCCAGAATTAATCTGTAGATGAGCTGCTGGAGATTTTAAAGTGTTTATTCATTGCAACAATGTTGCACATGGTGATTTAATCCAGGTTATCCCATTAAAATATATTTAATATATCATGTAGCCCAAAGTTTTTTTAAATTGCTGGTGGCCCCATTGGAGAGCCGAAAAATCAATCAATCTTAGCATTCCTAATGATAGGGTAACCAGATGTTAAGTGTACACTGATCAAATATTGCATCCATTTAAAAATGTTTCAGATGAATATAATCAGGTTGTTAGCTGTAAATTCCAGTTTACAGCAAAGGTAGGGAATAGATGAACAAGGTAAACAAATACCCTGGGAATGCAAATAAACAAATCCAGAAGTTATAACGTTACAGGGCAATTAACCTGTCTCTTCAACAAGTCAAGCAATGAAAGGATATTTATCTTTTTCTAGATTGAAAGAGATTTAAAGGAACACAACATCCAGTTGTGGTGTTCTGGATTGCATCCTGGTTTGGCTAAACCAACTATAAAGGTCTTTTATTTTTTGGTGGGGGGGTCAGCTGAGAGTATTTGGATTTAGACTAGGTACTAGAGGCTGTATTAATTGTATTAAATGTGAAAATATTATTTTGGATATACAGAAAAATGGTCTTATATTTTAGAGATTCTTTTGGGGGAGATATAACTTACTTTTAACTATCAAGGGACAAATGAAAGTGACACAAGTTTAAAAAAAGTGAAAAGTACAATGAAATACAGTGGTGGACAGGCATAAGACAGACATTCCCATTCCAAAGGGAGACACAAGGAGGACCACAGAACTATTCAGCTGCAAATGTGCATGGGTTATTCTTTAAGAAAAGGGAAAAATG